TTTGACATTTTAAACATGAATTTCAGTTAAAATTTTAATGTATTAATTAACAATAATAAAATTTTTTTATCAAATAAAAATATTCAATAAAAATTATATATAAAAAATTTATATCTTAAAATAAAAAAATAAACTAAAATGACTAAAATTGAATAGATGAGTATATAAATTATAAATCTATAAAATCTCGTATACACAGTCGAGTGGCAGCCATGGTAAATGGCTCCCCTTCGTGGAAGAGGTTAGGAGTTAAAAGTCCATTTTTGCTGCCTTTTGTCGCTTTTAAATTTAAAAAATCTTAAAACAGAATGGTTGTTTGGTTCAATCACTTAAATGGTTTAAGACAGCCAATTAGAATGGATTTGTGATCGATTGTGGTTCAGACTGATTCAAGCAGCCAGTCCGCATGAAAAGCTCATGAGCCTGCAAGGCATGATATAGGCATGTATTGGATGAAATGAAAGTTTAGTAGATTACAAGTGAATGGCTTAATTTAATAATTGGTCTATTAATTATTAGTTTAATTTCAATTTAGTCTAAAAAGTTAGTTTTCTTTCTAAATAATCCATAAACATTGTAAAATATTTCAGAATAATTTACTACATAAAAATTCAATTAGCTTTAACGAAAAAATAACAAAATTGGTAAATCAAAATCAAAACAAAATAGCCTAGTCAATAAAGCAATCCACAACAAACTGTGCTAGGTGTTAAAACATGTCAATAATTGTGATTTCTGCTATAAAGAAGAATTATCAAAAGAAAAAACTGAAGTAATATGTGATAAAAATTATAATTCCTCAAATAATAAAAAAGAGATTATCATCCTCACAAAATTACTTTTATCTCAAAATTAATGTCAAGAAGGAAAAAATCACAAAAACTATAGTTGAAGGTCAATTTAACCAAATATAGCGAAATTGTTAGTAGAAAGCTAACAAAGTAGACTAAACTAAAATAAAAACAAAAGATAGTAGATGAATTTGGAAGTATTTAAAAATAATAGACAAAATAAAAAAAATTATAAAAGTGACTAGATTATTTATTAAATTAAGCCCAAATGAACAAATAAAGTTGAGTTTGACAATACTAATATGTAATTGTAGTTGTAA